TGAACAGTGGTTGAACTCTAAGAAGGGGAACATGCAGCTTCTAGCTGAATATCTTTTTAGAAAGCTTGATGAGACAATACTAATTTTGCAAAAAAAAATAAATGAGAATATATACAAAAGGATTCTTACCCAGATCAAAGAGATACTGTCATGGCTGAAGGATTACAGATGAGATTTCATCTGTTGTTCCAAAGTTTAAGTCTGTGTATTCCAACATTATCAGCACTGTGAATAAAAAGGGAAGTGACAAAGTCTTTGTCTTTAATTACAGAGGAATTATTGAGTCTGTCATCTGCACCTCCATAACTGTCTGGTTTAGTTCTTCAACCCAACAAGACAGACACAGGCTTCAGAGGATAATTAGAACTGCAGAAAAAACAATTGCTACCAACCTTCCTTCCATCGAGGACCTGTCTAATGCACGAGTCAAAAAGAGGACTGTGAAAGCATCTACAGACCCCTCACATCCTGGACATAAATTGTTTCAACACCTACCCTCAAAATGACACTATAAGGCACTGCACACCAGAACAATTAGACAAAAGGACAGTTTTTCCCCCGAATGCCATCCCTCTGCTTAGCAACTATTTCCCACAACACTGTCAAATTATTTATTAAGACTATATTACTATTATTCTTCTCTTCCTTGCTAGTATCTATCTCTTTCCACTTATCACTATAACCATGTTGCTTGTATCTTTAAAATTTATATTGTTTTATTTGTTTCCTAGTATAATTTGATTGCTTATTAGTAACCTTCATTATTCCCAAGTGTTATATCTTATGATTCTTGATGAATGTATTCTATTTTATTTTTTCTTTATGTACACTGAGGCCATAAGCACCAAAGACAAAATCCTTGTGTGTCCAATCACACTTGGCCAATAAAGAATTCTATTCTATTCTATTCTTAATCGAAGTGCTGATAATGTTGGAATATGCAGACTTAAACTTTGGAACATTATTTCTATTTCGACTTTGATCGAAAGATGGGCTTATTCTGGAGATTGAATTTATTACATTTAATTAAGGAAGAAACGTGGATTATTTGATCCAGGACAAATTCTACATACTTTTTGAGATGACTTGGGACACGTAAGAGGCCGTGATATACTTTCTAGGAGTGGATTACAATAAGAGATTGTTAACAGAGAGGTTTGAAACTTTAATTTGGTTCTATTTTAGTGTTATTATTTTCCTTATATAAGATATGCAACAAGCAACAAGTTGCGAAGAGAAGTTCATGCAAATCTTATTAAGGAAACAACCAGAAGACTAATCCCACAAATGGGAAAAGACATATGACTGCACTATTACTGGAAAGACACAGGTTGATATATGAAAGCTTATAACAAAAAATTAGTCAAATTCAGTCAAATTTAGAGCATTATGTATAAAATGAAGGGATAATGGATATAGTTAGATAAATAATTGATAATGATAATAATGTATCCATATGTATTGGTTTGATAAGAGGAAATTTGATATAAATTGCAAATGGTGACTATGAAAGGTAGTTCAGAAATTCTGTTATGTATGAAAGTTTATCATAAAAAATTCAGTCAAATTTAGTTAAAAATAATGTATACATACAGTATGTACTGGTTTGATAAAAGGAAATTGGATATAAATTGTAAACACTGATTAAGAAAAGAGATCTAGAAACTTTGTTATTAAATACAATCAATTTTTTATTTAGAACATGTCATAAAGATGTAATGTTACCGGATGATAATGGAAACAGTTAACGGAATGCCATTATGTGGTTTTTTTCTTTAAATTTTGGAATATTTTATATAAAAGGACGTTAAAACAATTATAGTCAAATGAAGGTTGAGGTATGATGATATATATATATATATATATATATATATATATATATATA